TGCACAGGCTGACTTCAAGAAGTCCATGCTGTGAAAACCTGTAGTTCTTACTGAGGTGGTCTAAAACGAGGAAATACGTCAGCAGGACCTAGGGTGGTTCCAGGTGTGCTACGTGTGTTCACAACAGGATTAAGCGTGCTTTCCTTACTGAGGAGCAGAAAATCATTTGTGAAAGTGGTGAAGGCACAAGGCAGAACAGAGTCAGAAAGCTAAATTAAAAAATGAAGCTTTTTGGCGTAATAATTCAAAAGGCTTGTTCTGTTAAAAAAAAAAAAAAAAGCAAGGGGTACCTGGCTGGCTCAGTCAGAAGAGCATGGAACTTGATCTCGGGGTTGTGGGTTCAAGCCCCGCATTGGGTGTAGAGATAAATAAATAAATCTTTAAAAAAAAACCAAACAAACAAAAACAAAACCCAAACAGGGCTGTAGTGAAGATTGAGTTAATGGATACATCTAATGTAATTACAGCAGTGCTTAGCACATACTAGGTGCACAATAAATACAATCTTTATGCATGTAGATGTACATGTACAGACATAAAGGCAGTTTTATCTTACACATTATTCTGCAACCTGCTTTTCACACAATAAATGTCACAACTTTCCATACTGGCCCATACACGAACTACCTCATTTAACACCTCCATGACTCAGTGATGTGAATACACCAGAATCCGACCATCCTTGTACTGGATCCATATACCTATCTTTCAGATCTGTACTGGTAGGAGTGATTATGAAAGTGGGAAAGTCAAAGGGCATGACCATTTACAATTTTGATATTATGCCTTCCATAAATGTTACACTAATTGATAGTCTCATGCATAGTTGACTTTTTAAACGATTTTAAAGGATACCTTTAGGTGGTATAAGAGTAAAGTCTAGCAAACATCAATGATTGATATTAACAGATACTAAGTCTACTTTGCTACAGTTTGGTGTCATTTAGCACTGTATGTATGTTGAAAAAAACTTATTTTCAAAATTCCATAGTCATAAGAATAAAACTGTGTACTGAAGTTCTGAGTTGTAAACTTTTAAGCTCCTGAGTTAACAGCAGAAACTCTATTTTTGTAACCCTAACATCTAGCACAGTACCTGGGAGTGGAGTATATCAGTGTGTGCTAAATGATTAGTCATAAATCACAGGAAGGAACTATTACATTAGTAATCATACCACAAAAACCCACGTAGCTTGTGTTCCTGTCCACTTGACAATGGCCAATCCCAAGGAAGTTTGTAACATCCATTTTCTTAAACTTTCCCCTGAATCAAGAAGGATCTTTTTTTTAAAGATTTTACTTATTTGTCAGAGAGAGAGAGAGAGCGAGCCAGTACAGAGGGAGAAGCAGGCTTCTGGCTTAGCAGAGAGCCCAATGCAGGACTCAATCCCAGGATCCTGGGATGATGATAGCCAAAGGCAGCCGCTTAACCAACCCTGACTGAGCCACCCAGGCGTCCCTCTCTTCTTAATTACAGTGTTAAGCCTCTTTAGTTAAGCTAGCTAATAAATATTCAATGTAAATGCTTTCAGATAGGAAGAATTCCCTGCAATAGTTTAAACATTGTACTTAGCTATTTCCTTATCAGAAACTGAACATTTGGGGTGCCTGGGTGGCTCAGTTAGGTGTCTGCCTTTGGCTCAGGTCATGACGACCTCAGGGTCCTGGGATCGAGCCCGTCAGGCTCCCTGCTCAACGGAAAGTCTGTTTCTCCCTCTGCCTCTCCACCCACTTGTGCTCTCACTCATAAAATCTTAATAAGCATTTGCTAATACCTAGCATAAGGTTGGCCCTAAAGGTGTGAATGACGTTAAGTTTAAATGGAATGCCTTTGTTCACATAGCTGTCACGTCCCTTGGACTACAGCAGAAACTGCTATGACTTGGTAACAACACCCCGATCTTTGGTCTTTTCTGACATCTGGAGCCTACCTCAGCCCAGGTCTCTGGCTTGGCTCCTCCCATCTCAGTAATCTACTGCATTATTAGAAATTACGGTTCCGGGACACCTGGGTGTCTCATTCAGTTAAGCGTCTGCCTTTGGCTCAGGTCATGATCCCAGGGTCCTGGAATTGAGTCCTGCATCGAGTCCTGCATCGAGTCCCACATCGGGCTCCCTGCTCAGCGGGGAGCCTGATTCTCCCTCTGCCTTCCTCTTCCCCTGCTTATGCTCTCCCTCTGACAAATAAAATCTTTAAAAAAAGTAGTCTAAAAAAAATTACCCATTCCAAGTAATGAGTAACACAGTGAAGTTTCAGTGCATTCTCAGCCCATGCTGCTTTATTGCCAAAATATATATATATATATATATATACACACACACACACACTCAGGTGCAGAGTTTCCAACTCATACAGCAGTTCCCTTTTACATCAAAGAATAAAATTTCTGAAATCCCAAGGATGCATAGATTAAAAAGCTGCCTTTTGTAATACTTTATAAACATTCAATGAAATTCTTTTTAACATTATATACTAATGGTGCAATGAAGAAAATACAGAACAGCAAGTAAAAACAGTGAGCAACAACTGTACTTATAGGAGAGTAAATCAAAATATGTTAATGATACTCTAATATAATATGACTCTGTGATGCGTGGGTTTAAGGTAAGTGCCAAGACTATTACTGTTATTTAAGGACTGACGATAATGTACTGCCAGAATACCGTTATCTCTGGGAGGAAAATTGATGGCATGGCATACTATCACCAAGGGAGACAAAACCTTTTGAAAATTGTCAGTAATCTTCCGGTATCTATTTTGATTTTAAAGGAGGTTTAAGGAGTAAATGTTCCTAGAGAAATCTGTGATGCTTGGTTTTTTATCTATGTGCCTTTGTGAAATAATGAGAACAGAGTTAAGAAACTCCTTCCTTGTATCTTTACTGGTTTCATTGGTTGGCAGATGTAATCAGTAAGTGGCAAGGAGAAAATTTACAAATGGGAAATGATATCTCATTTCCTGTACTTAAGTGGACACTAAACACTGCAATGACTGTTAAGTCTAATTCAGTTCTGAATTAAGTTACCACTTACACTTAAACATTCCCAGAGGCATTTGGAGTGAAATCCCACAGCAAATAGGTTACAGTGACTTAGGAAAAATTTTCATAGAACACGAAACCTGGGAGGGGCCTAGTGAGAATCATCTAGTCTAACTCTGAATTCTCTTCTGTTTATGCCACTCAGCTATGAATTCCATTTGTATTATTACTTGTCATGATCATTTGCACTTAACAGGGTTTATTTCAAAGTTGGGGATCTTCTCAAAAATTTTAAGCTACCACAATAAACTGATCTATTTTCTTCACCAAGCAAGGAAATATATGGCAAGTGTTTTTTTTTCCCCCCAAAGTGGGAAAACCTGCTCCTGTTTACCTGGCATCAGAAGCTTTAGGCAACAAATTATGCAGTCTGAGCAAAATATCATGGCTAAAGCTCTGGCTATAAAATTTTAAAAACAAAACATTTATATAATACAGTAACAAAAAAGAACCCAAACCACAGATTTGTCAATATTTTTAGCACTGTTTCCACAAAATGGAGCTGTCTCCTTTGCCGCAGGGAAACTTTATGGCTGGTTGGTCGGTACCAGTAGCATCCAGAAGAGTTGGCTGGTTATCTGAAAATCCTGCAACATTTGAAATACGTGCATATTGCTTCCATTCACTTCCAAGATACTAGTTTTAAAATATCCTAACTTAAGCCACATAAATTTTATCAAACCCTATACTTTTATATACTCTACACTGTCAATTCCCTACTTTCCTACGCTTTCTGAAACTCTGCACCTTTCTGATTATTATAGCCATAGCAGCTTATTTATTCAACATGCTTAGTTTGTGCCTTTGTTTTGTTTTTAAACATGCTTGGGGACTAAGGGAACCAGGCAAGAGGTTAGAGGGTGAGCACTGTCATGCTCTCTATTCCTGACAGTTTGAATGTCTTGTGGTTGCCCCTGTTTATCTTCTAGCTCCCATTTTCAATGGAAGTTAAGATAATCTTTAATTAGAAAATGAAAACTAATAATCCAAAAAGTAAATTCAGGCTATTGGTTTAAGTCTCTATTGCTTCATTAATAAATGCATATATAATTTCTATCTACTAGTCACCACATAACACTGGACATTTTCAATCATGCATTAGAATATTAGTACTCTAAAATCAGAATTCTGGGCCTGCCACTACTGCTTGCACTTTCATTCAGACCCAGTTTTAAAATAAACATGCAGAAAAGACCCCCTGATTCAGAGGAATTAGGGGAAATAACAAGGATGCATGCAGTTTCAACTGAAAATGTGGGTTAATAAAGCGATTGCCTAGAAATGCAGGCAGGGCAGGTGCTCCACATCACAATGCTGCTTCAGACTAGAGGTACAAAGTCACACACAAAAAGGTGAAAATCAGGACCACTACTTAGTTACAAAAGGCTTAACTGCGAATCCTGGCCCTTTTGGGTAGAGAATGATGTGAAAACCCTGGGAAAGGAAAGAGAATTGAAAGATGTACAGTCTTTTGGAGTTTTCTTGGCCACTTATTGACAGCTATAGCATAGAAGAGCATACATGTGTAGAGATGGTGAAGATGCTCTTAGGCAGAATGGTTTGATTCACATTAATGAACTTTATCTGCACAGCCCCCTGGGGAAAAGGAGTTTATGAACAGCAGAGCCGATATAATGTAAACTCAAAATCAATGCCCTGAATTTAGCATAGATTTCTACTTTGAAAACTATCAGCCAAGGGATTCTTCCAAATAGGGTATGGTTAATAGCCAAGCAATGTTCTGAATAAACTAGAAGCAATTTGCTTGCACCAGCAGCACCATGAGAATGTAAACTCCTGGAGGCCAAGGGTCTCTTCATATTTTGCATATCACAGGTACACAAAAGAGTAAACATGAGACCACAACATTGGAAAGTAGTAACTGCATACCTAGAGACTACAAAAACTTGTAGCACATTTTAGCATTTACAACTATTAACGTGGCTGTTAAGGGTAGTCTTTAAGTAACTGAATTGTTGACATCACTATAATACACAGCGGTGTCCTCATGATCGTGCAGATGACTAAATATTGCTTGGTTATTCCAATGTCTCTAGCACCAACTGATGGTGTAGGACATTTAAAGAGGAGCTATAATCAATTTAATAGAATAGCCTTCTCCCTATCCTCTGGAGTTGCCATATAAGAAATATTAAAGAGGCACTATTTTCTTAAATCCACTCCACTTTTAGTTTTTTTCCCTGGGAAAACAGGGGAACATAGACCCAATCTTTTCAGGGACCTTCAAGGTGCTAAATGGCCAAAATGAACACAAGGTAAAAGGGAGTAAGAAGTCAGCTTCCATGCCACTATTATATCCTGATGTGAGGTGTGAGATCCCTCAGATCAAGAAACGTTTGTTGGGCTCTTATTAAAGAGTCACATGCCAAAGTCCTCAACACATGTACATCAGACAAGGTTTATAAAACCAACATGCTGTCTTTGGCTATTCCCTTCAATCCTTTGCTTTACATCTTTAAATTCTAACTCCCCTACACTAACCAGAGGCATCAGGAAAAGCCAGCTATCCAAGTTCTTGGTTTGTTTTTAACACACACACTTTCCATTCTTAAAATGCACCCAGAGAATGAAAGGAGAAAAGAAAAGGTGACAGAGCATAAAGTCGCCTATTCTATAAATGCCTGCTGCTGAAAAGAACATCAGAAGCAAAATCCCCACCTGATGGCTTCGGTGGGGCTACATGGGTAGGAGTACATTTGTTTCCTGGTAAACCACTAGAAAAATTTCATTCATTGACTCTACCCCTCTGCTTTAGGAAACAAATAGGGTCCCTAACCTTTACACTTACACACAAAAGTTGCTATTTCTCACACAATGATTTATTCATATACATTCAGCTTTTAAAGTACCTTTTATATGTTCTTTGCCTAAAACGTCTTCCTTTGGTGCAATGTTCATCACCAGAGCTTCACCAACTCAAGTAGTAATATTTATTCTATTGTACAACTTTGCTAATACAATTTACTGTACATGCAAAACTGTTATTGCTACAAAGATTCTACCTCTTGAAAATTATTATTCATTTTATGGCTTTTATTTTTTATTTTTTTTTTGCAATAGGAAATATCCTTTCCTATATACTGTGCTATTTTGCATTCATTCATTACCTTTTCAGAGGTATTTTTAAAAATATTTAAATGCTTTTTGGAAATAGATTCTCCCAGGCACTAAACTACTAGAGCCAAGAGTACAACTGCTTTAAGTACACTCTGAGAATCTAAACCTGGGTCCCTGGATATCTGCTGCTACAGAGTCTATTTGTTTAAGCTTGCTTGTGTACTGGAGACACATCACATTCCTTTTGCATTTCATATCATGGTAACTGTAAAATCTGTATCAAAAAATCCTGAACTCTCCTAATACCGAGACTTAAAAATCACCTCCGAAAACTGCCCTTTCCAAGTTCTCAAGGCAGCTTTTAGAGGTAGGAGTTTCTTTTCCACAGAAAGGTATCTTATGCTTTCAGAACAAAAACATTTATTTTTACAAGCAGAAAAAAGTGAAAGCTGTCTGAGGTGGCTTACTATAACCAAGCAAAAGAGATAGTTATTACATGGCAACCTGCTTAGGCTCCACCTAGCTACACTCCAATTCTTGCGAAAAGGTCTGGAATGCCATCAACACACAATTCAGACTGTGAAATAGGAAAAGCCTGTGACAAATTTATGTAGGACACTGAACTACTGACCAGTGTTCTTCCATAACAATTAGCATTTCGCAGACAGGAAATGTAAATGGTCTGCAGATTAGAAAAGCACTTGACCAACACAGCATCTCAGTAAGACATGCAAAATAAAAAAATAATTTCTTGATGCAAAGGAGTGGATTAAATAATAAACCTACAAGACACACTGTGTGAAAACAGCATAAGAACAATCTCATCTCAAACTAAGAGAACAAAGCAGAATCATGAAATGGGGCCTCATTTTGATTTGAGGTTTCTTAAGACACAAAGGCAGCTGGTTTCCAGCTACCTCAGAAAAAACTTAAATATCCTCAAACACAGTATTTCACACTGTAATCCCAGTTCTATTCATAAATGAGTCTTTTTGGCCTTAATCTCTTTTCCCCAGGGAGAATATCATGATTCCGATATTTATGAAAAAAGAAAAGATCTCGATTTTCCACTCATTTAACACTATTGGTTATTATCAATAATTCATCCTGAAGTTTAAATTATTACTAGGCTCATGCACTAACCCCTAACATGGCACTACAATATGCTACCAAGCACTAACGCTTACAAAACTATACACATCTCAAAATGGAAGACATTGGTGATTTTGTTGTTCTTAAACAACTTGTAACATTTGTCCACAAGTATTAAAATATACATATATATATTTCTATTGCACATATCCCGTTTTTGTTTAACTTTTTAAAAGAAAAACTGCCAGCTGACATGGATGAGCAGAGAAGGAAGTAGGCACAGCTACTGATCAAGGTGTAGTCCTGCCTAAAATTACAGCTTTTCCCATCAAGAAGGGGACAAAACAGCCCAGGGGGGAAAATGTATGCATATTAAGCAAACACTGGGCTAGTACACTGGCATAGACCCATTTTGTTAGATGCTATCTGGTGACAACCATTAAAGATGCAAAGAACAACTTGAACGAGAGCATTCAACAGTGGTTCCTTTAGCTATGAAATAATACAATGCAACTGGAGAAGAGGAGTCTGATACATACTCAAACAAATGGGCCAGAGATGGTTTCACTGGTGCTGACGGTGTAAAGTCCCTATCCCCTGCCAAATGGTCCTACCCAAAACACTGCAAAAAGGACAAGGGGAAGATGGATAACAAACAACTAAAGATATAAATTCTCAACATACCAATGGAACTCAGTCCTGTCTTTAACAACTCCAAAATAGTTAAAGAAAATATCAGGAAGTTGGCTGAGAAGTTACTTAGAGAAACATTTAAGTTACCTTTATCCGAAGTTACTTCTATGTTTTACCACTCAGTATTTGCCCTCAAAGGAAATTATATTTGATCTATATTATGTAATTATTTTACTAAAAAGCTTTCTTATGTCAATTCAAACAGGGTGACCAATTTACTAATCATTAAGAGTGCTCAACATTTCTCATTTTTGGCCATTTCTATCACTGCTAAATTTTGGTAAATCTGCCCTAAGTTTTTAGCATCACAGCATGTATGACCCTAGGCAAATTCCCTAAATCACAGATATGATCTAAGACAATTTGTTCTTAATTGCATCTAAGAAGTTGCAAATTCTTTCTCACAAAGACTCATAGCTTCCTTCTTCTTATGTAAAGACCTGACAATTCATACAGTGGTCCTGTTGATTTGGAAGCAAGAACAGCTTTACATTATAGTCTGTTCATCACACGGTATAAGTTTTAAGGAGAAGAACAATCCATATTTTTATTGAACTATTTTTCTTGTTTGAGTTTTTTTCCAGACCCCGAATTTCTTCTAAATCAACCACAAATTTGGGAACATTGCTACTGAAGTCCATTCTCTGATCACAGTTTGGTTCCAACCAGGGAAAGTTACCTGAGTCCCAGCCTTTACAACCTAACATTACACCTCACCTAAAAAAATAAACCAAACATCTGAATACCCATCTTGGATCAAAGGAACAAAGTTATTTATGTTTTTAGAAAACTGGGCTACAGAATGTAAGATGCCCTAAAGTTAGATGGAGCTGCGTAAGGCATTTTTGCTTGCTTTTCTCAGGAGAAAGGAATTATCTGCAAGCTCTTTTGTTTTCCCCATTCCTTCATGCCCAAAGTTGAAGGCAGGTCATACTAGAGGATCTGCCATATTTTCTGAACAGAAAAAACACTTAAGCCACTTGTTCCTGCCTTAGCAGCATGGAAAACCAAGTCTCAAGTGCTATGTTAAGAGTCCACAGAGAAGAATGAAGTAATTTGCAATATAGGAGCCTCTCATCTGAGGGAGGTGAAAAGGGTTCCACCAGTGGACTTGAATCTGTTTTGTTTCCTTTTCCAATCTTTCAGCAAACTCAAGCATGCATTCATAGGGTTAGCAAATGTACAATGTGGTCCCTCCTTAGAAAAATGAAAAATCATTAAAAAATACGAAATGTCCAAAGACTTCTGAGAGAGAAGCCAACAAAAGCTTCCTGCTCTAGGAGAAAAATCCCTCTTCTCATTCAAACTGTAGATTTACACATGTAAAGATGTGTATTTTACAGAGACTCCGTTAACCTTGCATTCTCTTGTCTTCATGCTTCTTTATTACATCAAAGGTTTTATTGCAAAATTGGATCTTTGTTCTTTTCCAGCAAATGTACTTCAAAGGATGAGTCAGCATTTAGATATTTAATATCTGTGGTTTTTAAGCATCTCTTTCATTTCATACTAGAACACATATTTGGAATTTACTCCTTGCAGATTCAACTGTGCTTATGACAGTGGTTGAAACTGGAAGACATTAAAAAAAAAAAAAACCTGATGTCATCCATACTTGCTATTTATTCGTTCTTCTTGTTTGGAACAAAAGGTAAAGAATTCACAAACACCAACATCTAAGCACCTTTTTCAAATTAAACATCAGCCTCAGCTTCCAAAATAACTTCTTTATAATTAAGCAAAAAGCAGAACATGCATGTCAGTTGCTTCTTTCTTCCTGGAGAACTTGGCAAGACAACTGCATCCTAGGAGCTTCTCAATGTTGAATCTGAGAAGTGGAACAAAAAGAAAAGCAGCCTTTTCCGATCCAAATCATGGAGGTAAAATGTGCAGAGAAGAGATATCCACATTTCAAGAATAGGGAAAGTGGCTGGATAAAAGGACTACCTACTCCAGGAGACAACACAGAATACCTGGAAATACAAAATAAATTAAAAACAGGGAGGTTAAGGCAGGTACTTCTGCATAAGCTCATGTTTAAAAATGATATAGAAAGAAAATACATTTTAGATTACACACTGTCTAAAAGAAAATGTCCAACGATAACACCAAATTCAGTATTGTCATCAGAAAAACAGCAAGTCAAGGGTGCCTGGATGGCTCAGACGGTTAAGCATCTGCCTTCGGCTCAGATCATGATCCCAGGGTCCTGGGATCGAGTCCTGCATCGGGCTCCCTGCTCCTTGGGAGCCTGCTTCTCCCTCTGCCTCTCTCTCTCTGTCTCTCATGAATAAATAAATAAAATCTTTAAAAAAAAAAAAAGAAAAGAAAAGCAGCAAGTCAAAAAAATATATAAGCACAATACAAAAAAGTTAGATTTATGTAAAAACTAAAAAAAAATAGAGATACACATGTCCAAGGGTTCCTGGGTGACTCAGTCGGTTAGGGCATCCAACTCTTGATTACAGCTCCAGTCATGATCTCAGGATCGTGAGATAGAGCCCTGTGTCAAGCTCAGCACTGAGTCTGCTTGGGATTCTCTCTCTCCCTCTCCCCCTCAGCTGCTCGCAGGTGCTCTCTCTCTCTCAAATATATAAATCTTTAAAAAAACTACAAAGCTATAGGTAATCAAAATGGTATGGTACTGGCACAAAAACAGACACATAGATCAGAAGAATAGAACAGAAAATCCAGAAATAAACCCACAATTATACAGTCAATTAATCTTCAAAAAAGCAGGAAAGAATGTGCAATGGGGAAAAGATGGTCTCCTCAATAAATGGTGTTGGGAAAACTGGACAGCTACGTGCAAAAGAATGGAACTGGGCCACTTTCTTACACTATTAACAAAAATAAACTGAAAATGTATTAAAGACCTAAATATGAGAACTGAAACCCTAAAAATCCTAGAAGAGATCACAGGCAGTAGTGTCTCTGACATCAGCCACAGCAACATTTTTTTAGATAGGTCTCCTACAGCAAGGGAAATAAAAGCAAAAATAAATTACTGGGACTACATCCATATAAAAAGCTTCTGTACAGTGAAGGAAACAATCAACAAAACTAAAAGGCAACCTACTGAATGGGAGAATATATTTACAAATGACATACCAATAAAGGGTTAGTATCCAAAATATATAAAGAACTGATACAATTCAACACCAAAAAACCCCCAAAATTCAATTAAAAAATGGGCAGAAGACATGAACAGACATTTCACCAAAGACAACATACAGATGGCCAAAAGACACATGAAAAGATGCTCAACATCACTCATCATCAGGGAAATGCAAATCAAAACTACAATGTGGGGGTGCCTGGGTGGCTCAGTCGGGTTAAGCGACTGCCTTTGGCTCAGGTCATGATCCTGGAGTCCCGGGATCGAGTCCCGCATCGGGCTCCCTGCTGAGCAGGGAGTCTGCTTCTCTCTCTGACCCTCCCCCCTCTCATGTACTCTCTCTCTCTCATTCTCACTCTCTCAAAATAAATAAATCTTAAAAAAAAAAAAACTACAATGAGGTATCACCTCACACCTGTCAGAATGGCTAAAATAAAAAACAAGTGTTGGGAGGATGTGGAGAAAAAGGAACCCTCTTGCACTATTGGTAGGAATGCAAACTGGTGCAGCCACTGTGCAAAACAGTATGAAGGTTCCTCAAAAGTTAAAAATGAGGGGCGCCTGGGTGGCTCAGTCATTAAGCATCTGCCTTCAGCTCAGGTCATGATCTGGGGGTCCTGGGATCGAGCCCCGCGTGGAGCTCCCTGCTTGGCGGGAAGCCTGCTTCTCCCTCTCCCACTCCCCCTGCTTGTGTTCCCTCTCTCGCTGTGTCTCTCTCTGTCAAATAAATAAGTAAAATCTTAAAAAAAAAAAAGCTAAAAATGAAACTATCCTACAATCCAGTAATTGCACTACTGGATATCTACCAAAAAAATACAAACACACTAATTCAAAGGGACACATGCACCCCTATCTTTATAACAACGTTATATACAATAGCCAAATTAGGAAGCAGCTTAAGTGTTCATTGATAGGTGAATGGATAAAGAAGATGTGGTATATATACATACACAATGGAATATTATTCGGCTATAAGCTGAATAAAGTCGAAAGGCCAAAAAGCTGAACAAGCCAAAAAGAATGAAATCTTGCCATCTGCAACAACATGGATGGAGCTAAAGAGTACAATGCTAAGTGAAATAAATCAGAGAAAGAGCAATACCTTATTATTTCACTCATATGTGGAATTTAAACAAATGAGCAAAGGAAAAAGAAGGAAACCAAGAAACAGATTCTTTTTTTTTTTAAGATTTTATTTATTTATTTGACAGACAGCGAGAGAGGGAACACAAGCAGGGGGAGTAGGAGAGGGAGAAGCAGGCTTCCCTCGGAGCAGGGAGCCCGATGCGAGGCTCGATCCCAGGACCCCGAGATCATGACCTGAGCCAAAGGCAGACGCTTAACGACTGAGCCACCCAGGGGCCCCAAGAAACAGATTCTTAACTACAGAGAACAAACTGATGGTTACCAGAGAGGAGGTGGGTGGCAGGATGGGTGAAATAGGTGATGGGGATTAGGGAGGACATCTACTGTGATGAGCACTGGGTGAGGTATGGAATTGCTGAATCACTGTATTGCACAGGTGAAACTAATATAACACTGCATGTTAACTATACTGGAATTAAAGGCAAATGTAAATTAATTCAGAATCAAATCAGCAGGAAGAGAATTATAGAATTTGCATTTGTTGCAAAAGCAGCAGAAGAGTAAAAAAATAGAGAAGATCCAGAGAAGGGCCTTTAGAACACCATGGGCAACAGAGCTGTTTCATTATATAAGCTTACTCAGGCCAATTCAATGCTTGCACCAGCCATTAGACTGTTCTGTAGTTCAATTATTATTTTTTAGGATTTTATTTATTTATTTGAGAGAGAGAGAGAGCAAGAGAGCACAAGCAGGGGAAAGCAGCAGAGGGAAAGGGAGAAGCAGGCTCCCTGCTGAACAAGGAGCCCAATGCAGGACTAGATCCCAGGACCCTGGGATCATGACCTGAGCTGAAGGCAGACGCTTAACTGACTGAGCCACCCAAGCACCACCTGCAGTTCAATTCTAATGGCAAGATAACTGGTAGTAATGTTGAGTGTGAAAGAAGATACAAGCTAGTTCCTTCCAGGAGGAAATATGCTAAAAGAATTCTATGTACACCAAATAAGCATCAAAGACGAGCACCTTTTCCTAACAGGGAACCTACCTAGACTGTCTTATAAACAAATTCCTTCAGCAATACTTACTAATAAAAATACATACATTCATCATATATAAACTTCACCTCTCCCCCATCTGTATCTTCATATTAGGCAATAATGCTAGAATATCATAAGCCTGTTTTCTCTTCAAAAGACCCAATTTCAGGCTCCTGGATGACTCAGTCGGTTAAGCAACTGCCTTTGGCTCAGCTCATGATCTCAGGGTCCTGGGATCGAGTCCCGCATCGGGCTCCCTGCTCAGCAGAGAGCCTGTTTCTCCCTCTCCCTCTTCCACTTCCCCTGCTCATCCCTCCACTCTCTCTCAATAAAATCTTTAAAAAACAAACAAAAACCCCATAATACCCAATTTCACATTCACTCAGACACCATTCAATTTTATTCACTCTAAACACAAATATGGATCACAAACTGTAGGACCTACTGAAAAGTGAATGAATAGTAGTAGCTTAGCTTGAAAGCCATAGTTCTGACCATGACCTCCAATTCCCCCTAAGGTCTACACCACCTTCCACCGTATCTCTTCTGACCCCAACTCTATTTCTTTTTTTTTTTTTTTTTTTAAAGATTTTATTTATTTATTTGACAGAGAGAGACACAGCGAGAGAGGGAACACAAGCAGGGGGAGCGGGAGAGGGAGAAGCGGGCTTCCCAAGGAGCAGGGAGCCCGATGTGGGGCTCGATCCCAGGATCCTGGGATCATGACCTGAGCCAAAGGCAGACGCTTAACGACGGAGACACCCAGGTGACCCCCAACTCTAATTTTATCTCCCCCTCCATCATGTGCTCCAACCACACTGGACTCTTTGCTCTTCCTGGAATGTCAGGCATACTCCAACCTTATAGCCTTTGTACTGGCTGTTCCCTTTGTGAGAGGACCCTTCCCCAGGTATCCACATAGCTAGTCCTCTTACCTCAAGTCTTTACTTAAATGTCATTTTCTCAATGAGGCCTACTTTGAGCCAGTTTAAGATTATACTGTCCCTCCATCCCATCCACAGACACATTTCTACCATTCCCCTTTACCCTATCTACTTTTCCTTTTATCCATAGCTTGTAACACTATCTAACCTACTCCATAAGGTATTTAATATGTTTCTTCATTTACTGTCCTGTCTAAAATGTAAGCTCCAGAGGTGCCTGGGTGGCTCAGTCATTAAGCGTCTGCCTTCGGCTCAGGTCATGATTCCAGGGTCCTGGGATCGAGCCCCGCATCGGGCTCCCTGCTCGGCGGGGGGTCTGCTTCTCCCTCTCCCACTCCCCCTGCTTGTGTTTCTTCTCTCGCTGTCTCTCTCTCTGTCAAATAAATAAATAAAATCTTAAAAAATAAATAAAAATAAATAAAATAAAATATAAGCTCCAGGGGTGCCTGTCTGGCATAGTCAGTGGAGCATGCAACTCTTGATCTCAGAGTTGTAAGTTTGAGCTCCACACTGGGTGTAGAGATTACTCAAAAATAAAATATTTAATACATAACATAACGTAACATGTAAGCACCATCAGGAAGGAAACTGTTTTGTTCACCAGTGAATCCCAAACACCCAGACTAGCATGTGACCCAGGTAACCACTTGATAAAAATTTGCTGAATAAATGAATGAAGAGCAGGGCTCTTAAAAACATTTAGCCAACATGAGTTAAAATGTAAGCAGGTTCTAGAGTTAAGTGAGGAAACCAAAACTATACACACTGATCTACAAAATCTTCAAATA